AACAATATGAATTTCTCCAGTCCATGAGCCTGGAATATTTTCCCTTCTTTGTGTGCCATCTTCAGATTCTATCATCAGTGTCTTAAAGATTTCAGAGTACAGTTTTTTCACCTCCTTGGTTTAGTCCTAGGTATTTTATTCTTTTTGGTGCAATTGTAAATGGAATTGTTTATTTCTCTGCTACTTTGTTACTAGTATATAGAAATGCAGCTGATTTTTGGGTATTAATTTTCTGTCTTCCAACTTTACTGAATTCATTTATTACTCCTAATAGGGTTTTTTTGGTGGAGTTTGGAGCTTAAGGTTTTCTGTGTATAGTTTTAGGATTTTCTTTGTATAGTTTCAAGTGATCTGCAGATAGTGACAGTTGTCCTTCCTCACCAATTCTGTGCCTTTTCTTTTTGTTGTCTGATAGCTGTGGCTAGGACTTCCAGTACTGTGTTGAATGAAACTGGTGAGAGTGGACATCTTCATCTTGTTCCTGATCTTAAAGGAAAAGCTCTCCATTATTCACCATTGAGTATCACGTTATCTGTGGGTTTGTCATACATGGCTTTTATTATGTTGAGGTATGTTCCCTCTACACCCACATTGTTGAGAGTTTTTATCATGAATGGATGCTATATTTTGTCATATGCTTTTCTTTGCATCTGTTAAGATGATCATATGGTTTTTATCCTTCCTCTTGTTAATGTGATGTACCACATTGATAGGTTTGTGAACCATCCTTGCATCCCAGGAATAAATCAAACTTGATCATGGTAAATGATCCTCTTAATGTATTGTTGAATTCAGTTTGCTAATATTTTTTGAGAATTTTGCATCGGTGCTTACCATAGATACGGGCCTGTTTTCTTTTTTTTTTTTTTTTTTTGTAGTGTTTTTGACGGGTGGTTTTGGTATCAGGGTAATGCCAGCCTCATAGAATGGATTTGGAAGTTTTCTGTCCTATTTTTTGGAATATTTTGAGAAGAAGTGTTAACTTTTGCTTAAATGTTTGGTAGAATTCACCGTGAATCTATCTGGTCCTGGACTTTTGTTTGTTGGGGTTTTTTTGATTATCAGTTCAATTTCATTACTAGTAATTGGTCTGTTCAGATTTTCTATTTCTTCCTGATTCAGTTTTGAAAGTTTATATATTTCTAGAAATTTATGTATTTCTTCTAGGTTGTCCCATTTCGCTGGCATGTAGTTTTGTAGTATTCTGTTCTAATCTTTTGTATTTCTGTGGTGTCAGTTGTTACTTACCCTCTTTCATTTTTTATTTTATTTGTGTCTTCCTCCTTTTTTTCTTGATGAGTCTGGCTAAAAGTTTATCACTTTTGTTTATCTTTTCAAAGAACCGGCTCTGGGTTTCATTATTCTATTTCTATTGGTTTTTTAGTGTCTATTTCATTTATTTCTACTCTCATCTTTATTGTTTCCTTCCTTCTACCAATTTTAGGTTTATTCTGTTCCTTTTTCTAGTTTCTTTACACGTAAGGTTAGATTATTTATTCGGAATTTTTTTTGTTTCTTGAGGTAGGCTTGTTTCACTAAGTATCTCCTTAGAACTGCTTTCACTGTGTCCCAAAGATTTTGAACCATTGTGTTTCATTTTCATTTGTCTCCATGTATTTTTTTATTTCCTCTTTGATTTCTTTATTGACCCATTGGTTGTTTCATAGCATGTTGTTAACCTCCATGTGTTTGTTTCTTCCACTTTTATTCTTGCGATTTATTTCTAGTTTCATACTGTTGCGGTTGGAAAAGATTACTATGAATTCAGTTTTACTAAATTTAGGGAGACTTGTTTTGTGGCCTCACATGTGACCTGTTCTGGAGAATGTTGTTACGTGTTCCCTTGAAAAGAATGTATAATCTGTTGTTTGGGGGTATGTCCATCTGGTCTAATATGTTGGTTGAAAGACCACTGTTTCCTTATTTATTTTTATTCTGTATGATCTATCCGTTGTTGTAAGTGGGGTATTAAAGTCTCTCAGGATCATATTACTGTCAGTTTCTCCCTTTATCTATTAATATTTCCTTTATGCATTATTAGATGCTCCAGTGTTGGGTGCATAGATATTTATAATTGTTATATCCTCTTATTGGATTGATCCCTTTATTATGTAATGCCCTTGTTTGTCTGTTAGTCTTTGTTTTAAAGTCTATTTTTATTGATTTAATTACTGCTACTCTGGCTTGCTGCACCCCCCACAATCAGTTTGCATAGGGTATCTTTTTCCATTCCTTCACTTTTAGTCTGTATGTTTCTTTAGTACTAAGGTGAGTCTCTCGTACACTGCATGTAGATGGGTCTTTTTTTATCCAATCTGTCGCTCTGTGTCTTTTGATTGGAACACTTAGACCATTTAATTTAATTATTGATGTATATGTTCTTTTTGCCATTTTGTTGCTTTTGTAATTCTCCATTCCTTTCTTGGTCTCTTGCTCTCATTCCTTGTGATTGATGACTTTCTTTAGTGTTTTGCTTAGCCTTCTTTCTCTTTATTTTTTGTGTATCTCTTGCAGGTTTTAGGTTTGTGGTTGCCATAAAGTTCATATATGACATCCTAAGTACTTAGCTGTCTATATTAAGTTGATGGTTACTTAAGTTCAAACACATTCTAAAAGAAACCCATTTTTATCTACCCCCTCCACATTTTATGTATATGTTGTCATATTTCATATCTTTTTAGTTTGTGAATCCCCTTAACTGATTTTTGAATATAATTGACTTTACTGCCTCTATCTTTAATCTTCAAACTCACTTTTTAAGTGTTTGCTGTACTACCTTTACTTTGTTTGCTTTTACTCATGAAAGTTTTTCATTTCATAATTTTCTTCTAATTTGACCTCTTCTTTTCCCCTCAAAGAAATCATTTTGTATTTTTTATAAGGCTTCTAAAGGTGATGAACTTTTTAAAATTTTGTCTGGAAAACTGAACAGTTCCTAATGATAACCTTGCTGGGTGGAGGATTCAGGTTGTAGGTTTTTACAACCTTAAGCATTTTTAATATATCGTACTGTTCCCTTCTGGCCTATATAGTTTCTGCAGGGAAATCAGCTGATAGTCTTGGATTTCCTTTGTATATAACTCATTGTTTCTCTCTTTCTGGTTTTAAATTTCTCCCTTTTATCTTTGACATTTTAATTACTATTTGTGGTGTGGACTTCCTTGGGTTCATCTTTAGTACTCCTCTGCACTTCTTGAACCTGGAGGTCTGTTTCCTTCCCTAAGTGAGGGAGGTTTTCATCTATCGTGTCTTCAAATAACTTATCTGCCCCCCTCTTCCTTTTCTTCTTTTGGGACCCCTATAATGCAAATGTTTTTTTGCTTGATGTTGTCCAAGAGATCCCTTAACCTATCCCTTTTTTTTTTTTCCTTTTTACTGTTCAGCTTGGGTTCTTTCCATTGCCCTCTTTTCCATATTACTAATCTCTTTTCTATCCTCTAATCTGTTGATTCCCTTTAGTTCATCTTTCATTTCATTTATTGTGTTCTTCAAGTCTGATTGGTTCTTTTTAATTTTCTGTCTCTTTGTTCAAGTTCTTACTGAGTTTATCAACCCCAATGTCCAATCCAGTGGGCATCTTTATGTGCATAATTTTGAACTATTTATCAAGCATATTTCTTATTTCCATTCTATTTAGTCCTGTTTCCGAGGTTTTGGTTTTGTCTGAAGCAGACTCCTTTGTCTCCTCCTCTTGCTTTACTTTGTTTCTGTGAATTACATGCAACAGCTACTTTTCCAAAATAGAGTGATATTGTGTAGTCATCCCCTGTGGAGGATGTGTGCCTGATGACTTTGGCTGGCTTTCTGAATGTGAGGATGTCGGAGGCTTAGATCCTGGGGCACCTCGTGTTAGGGCCATTTTGGTGGGATGTACAGAACCAAAGCAGGTACAGGCCGGGTACAGGCCTGGACAGTCTCACAGCTCTCCATGTAGATTGCACCCTGGCCAGAGAGCTGGTGCTATAGTGGGTATTGTCTGGAGGCAGTCCCAGGGTTCTCGCCTGGTAAGACAGCTGAAGCTGAAGAGGTTTCATTCTAGGCAGCTTGGGGCTCTTCGTGGAGCTAGTGCCCTGGCAGGACAGCTTAAGTTTAAGTGAGCCTGGGCCAGGGGCTCCCAAGACCCTTCGTGCAGGTGGCACCCTGGTTGGGTGTGAGCTAATTTGGAAAAGTCCTGGGATGCTCTTAACTGGGGGTATCCTGGCAAGTTATCTGGAGGTGAAGTGTTGGGGGCCTGGGTTATTCTGGGGTGCTTTGCACATGTGCCACCTTGGCGAGTCAGCTGTTGTGAACACTGACCGTGGGTGTTCTGGTGTGGTCTCCGCTGGGGCCACCTTCACAGACACTGTGTTGGTTTGGGCCAGGGGCCTAGTGCTTGCTGAGGTGGTAGGCCAGCTGTGGTGTCTGCTCGCGTCTGTGCTCTCAAGGTGGATGGGGAAGATAAACAGTGATGTTCACCACCCGCTCTGAAGCAGAAAATACCTGCTGAGCTTCTGCACTGTTTGGCAGAGTTCTGGGGCAGGATCTTTTATATTCTAGTTACCCTTTGAAGCCTCATTGTTTTTTCTGTATCCCAGGGCAGATAGATCTGCTCATGGTCATTCAGTACTATCACTCCCACCGTGGCTCTCAGTGTCGGGATTGGGGGTTCCCTTCATGACTGTGTCTCTGTCTTGCCTTTTTGTATGTGATACATCTTTTGCTGTGCAGAAGCTGTTTGGTTAGCTCTGTGTTGTTCTTCAGGAGGAAGTGCTTTATAAATAGGTGTAGATTTGGTGTGTCCATGGAGGAGGTGAGTTCAGGGTCTTCCTGTGTGGCAACCTTGGACTGGAACCTCCTTTTCATTTTGATATGTGGTTTTCACATGGCTTGGTTTTGTTTAGTTAGCCAAGAAACATTATACCTTATAGCATAACAACAGATTATTTTACATTCCATGAAAACAATTCTGTATAAGGTGATGGCATTCTATATCACTAGGTTATTTTAATTTTGCTTTCCAGGAAATAACAGTACAACAACTAATGTCTCATTTGGACTCCATCAGGAAAGACATGGTCATCCTAGAAAAAAGTGAATTTGCAAATCTGAGAGCAGAGAATCAGGTGATACAAGTTTCGGTTTATTACTAATAAAATAACTGATCTCACATGTATTCCACTTGGTGACGAATAGGACCAAATAATGATTTTATGTGGTCAGTCAATAATTATCAAGGTTTTAGATCAAAGTATACTACATGTTTAACCATAACTAATGTTTCTATATATAAATTATGGTTTCTTGACCAAAGATTAAGGGTTGTACCTTACACATGTAAAAGTCACATGGAAGGGAAAATCTTTGAGCTCTATATTTATTATTATAAAATTTCTCATATAGCTCAATATAATGTTCTCAGAATTTAAAGTAATGTGACATTTTCCATTTTATATGATTCTGTGCTAACTTTTGTCAGTTAAAATTAGAAAACTTTCTGTACTTCAGTTGGAATTTTGATCGCTAGCTTAAATATTTTTAAATTTAGAATATCAGTCATGGTTTAAAAATAAAGTAAGTAGAACAAATACTTTTTTTGTATTGTAAAATTCATAAGAATTTTTTGAATATGATGAAATACTACTTTCCTTTTTTGTGTAGTTTTAGTTAATGGTTAATTAGAAATGTGTAGAGATCGTCCAGTTTTTGCTAATGCAGGGTTTCAGATTTGTTGTGTTTGGTATAATGGCAATTGCATGTGATTTTTTTTATACCTAGAAAATGAAAACTGAATTGGAACAAGTTAAGCAGCAACTGATAGTAAGTTTAAGTACTTTTCTCACTTTAGAATATTTTACTAATTTCAGAACAAACATTATGAGATTTCTTTTTTAATATTTTGGTTTTCTTTAAAGAATGAAACCAGTCAAATCAGAGCAGATAATAAACTGGACATCAACCTAGAAAGAAGCAGAGTAACTGATATGGTAATGTGCTTCTTGTGTTTTCTTGGTAACTTAATTCCTTTATTATTCCTTCTGGTCTTTTTTTTTAACCTCTTGATTCATCATATCCTTTAGTTTACAGATCAAGAAAAGAAACTTATGGAAGCAACCACAGAATTTACCAGCAAGGTAAACTAGTATGTAAAAATGTCTTTTATACTGCTCTCATGCCCTGTACCTGAACTGTGATTTCTGTCAGAATCCAGGTAACATATTTTGTAACTAAATTATTTGTATATACAAAGGAACTATTTTTTGAAAGCAAGGATTCACAATTAGCATTTAAATGAAGGCAGAGACTAACAGTAAATATTTATTGAATGCTTATTATGTATCAGATACTGTTTTACTTGCTTTACTTCTGTTAATTCTCCTTATCAGCCTCTGAAGTAGGCCCTCTTTAGTCCCATTTTACCAATTTGGAAATGAGACACAGGGAAGTTAAAGTCACATAGCTAATAAGTGGTCGAGCCAGAATGTGACCCTGGATTCTGAACTCCATACTCTACAACTGTTTACCTTCTCCTAATCCTAAATTGTAATCCATGTTTAATCTCTATAGCTTGAGTAAAACCCAGCTTTTTGACTCAGCCTACAAGTTAAAAGCCATTTGGTCTACGTTCTAACAGAAGAGACATCACTCTTTTTTGCTGTTGTTTTTATTTATTTTAGAAAGAACACGAGGAGAGGGAGGGAGACTGTCTTAAGCAGACTCTGTGCTGAGCTCAGAGCCACAGGCAGGGCTCAGTTTCATGACCCTGAGATCACAACCTGAGCCAAAACCAAGAGTCGGCAGTTTGTGCCACCCAGGTGCCCTGAGACACCACTCTTTCTTAATTATTAAATAGAAGGGAAGGTCTCATTTGTCTTTCCAGGTATCCTATTCTGTTCTTTTCTTGGCCAGACAAAAGAGATAAACAAGGAAATCAAATTCTCCAGAGCTTATTTCTAAGCTCCATATGCCATCTTATCTCTCTCCCTGGTGTTACACAACAAAAGCATTTCTGCCATTCCCTTTAATACTGCTGCCAGTTCACATTATAAATCTGGGTGAGTTTTTTCTTTAAATTGTGCAAAAGTTTTAACTGTGATGTCCTAAGGATTTTTATACACAAAGTGTTTATAGTTCTAGGACTAAAACTTTTTCCTTTCCTTCCTAGTTTACCTTCTTAGTTTATTATCATATATTTTAGGTCTCAAATTTTTTACTATGAGGCTTTTAGTAGAATGTACCCAAAATAAGATAATCCAAAGAAATTAATAATAATCTCCAAATATCAAAAATTGAATATTCTTTTTGTCCGTTTGTAATGTTCATGTTTTTTCTGTCACTGTGCTTTTACTGTTTCCCCAATTAAGACCCTTGCAATACAAAGTTAGCCCTAAGTAAGGGTTTCTAATGTAAATGTTTTGTCCATAATATATAGGGACAGAATTTGTCTCATTTTTATTTACTGCAGGATACCAAAACCAGAAGTATTATTTCCGAGACCAGTAATAAAATTGACACTGAAATTGCTTCTTTGAAAACACTGATGGAGTCTAACAAGCTTGAGACAATTCGTTACCTTGCAGGTAAGGCAATTCGCTATCTTGTTAAAAAAACAAAATTCAGTATAGTAAAGCCGAAGATGTAATTGGCTTTTTTAAACAATTTGGGCAGCTTCTTATTTAGCACGTAGAGGGAATGGAAGCTCGATGCATTGTACATTATAGGAAGGAAGGTGGGGTAAGAAAGTTACTAGCAAAAGAAAAGGATTGTTGCAGGCAAGGTCACTTTCCCATGAGGATAAAAACAAGGGGTCTTTTACCCTCTGGGAGAAGGGAGAGGGCCCATGTGGCAGACCCATTATCACTAATCAGAAGATTCCCTGTTTGTTCAGTTAAGACTACATTTCTGGGAAAGTTTGAAACTGCAGTTAATGTAGGTATTAAGTCCTGGTTTGCAGAATAAGCCTGAGTGATACCATTTGGGGCCTGTGGTTTAACAATTCCCCCATTTGATCAATCTCAGCTTAATTGAAAAATGTGATCAAAATTTAAGGCATTAGTGCTGCTCTCAGTTCCCACTATTTTGTTGTTGTTTTCTCTGGTATTATCAGGGAGGCAGAATGTCCTTTGCCCTTCTAGCTGGTCTAAGAAATTGACATGAGACAGATTAACAGGAGAAAACAGACGTGAAATTTCAAAGACATTCAGGCAATGTGAGGCTTATATGACATCCTGAGCAAAGGACTGGGGGGGTAGGGGGTCGGCGGATATAAAGGGAAGGACAGCCATTGGCAGGAAGGTGAGAGGAGATGTTTGGAAAATAAAGGTTGCTGTTACACAAATAAGCGTCTTAGGTAAAGAGGAATCTCAGTTAATAGCTCTGTATAGGCTGTCCTTTCTGTAAATGTAAACTTAGGCAGTTGATGTGGAGGTAAGGAGCTTTTCCTAAATCTTCTGGGTTTTGACTGCTTTTAAGTCAAAGTAACATTCACGGGCAAAGTGGCCTATCTTAGGGCAACCTGCCCTTGGCACTTGAAGTTTCACACATTTAAAGTTGAGCCCTGGTAGATTGTTCCATCTTGTTGAACCAGTCTTTTAGTACTGGCAATAGATCAGCTCAGGTATAATCTCATTTCAGGAGGCCATGATGCAGGTATATTCTCAAAGTTAGGCCTGTGATTTAATTAAATAATCAGGTGTTCTGTTTCGTTAATTTTTCTGAGTTCTGAGGGTAGCTAGCCATGACTTGTAGATGTCAGGCTGGACGCATCTTCAGCTGGAGTGGGAGCAGGCAATGACAGTCTGACAGATTTTCCTGGTTCATAGTCCACATGTCTCTGATCTTTCAAGTGGCCCCTAGAACAACAGGCATACAGGTTGTCTAGATGTGAGGTAGTGTGATTTTTCTGAAGGTTACCTCAAGTTGTTTTTATTTGGTTTGCAGGGCTTCAGGGAAAAGGGCAGTTTTAGTTCTCAAATAATTCCAAGTCAGAAAGGTAGGAGAAAAATTGAAAATACGAGTTTAAAGAGTTGTAGCTAGTCATTGGAGAAAACTAGAGGTAATCTGGATCTAGTCTAGTTTTTGATGAGCAGTATTAAAATCTAATACACAGGGGTGTGTTTTTCTTTTCTGTAATCACCATTTCCACCAAAGATAACCAAATTGATGCTAGTTTGCAAAATAAGTTTGGTTTTAAAAAAACTTGGCCTGATTAATTTACATAAGTGCAGCAAGAATAGCAGTTGACCATATAGGCTCTTTAAACCTGCTTTCCTGGAACTATTCCTAAGAAATCTCCAGATTAAATTTTCAATAGCCTCTCAACTACTTGCCATAAGACTTCACCTGCAGTACCTATAGATTTGGGTGAATTCTTCTTTTCTCTAGGTTCCTGCATTGGCCAGGAAATGATCTTCTTTACTCACCTGGTAAAGCTGCTGGGAACTCTGTAAGCAATAGTTATTTCCAAGGAAGCTTTATAGGCTCCATAAAGTCCTTAAAGCTGTCTGGTAATATCTGAGTCTGTGTAAATCTATGTCTAAAATAGGACATTCCGTTCAAAGCCTTGATCATATAACCAATTTTCCCATTGTGTCCTGTTACAAGGAGAATAGATTCTTATTTAAATTAAGTAAACTTCCATGAAAACAGAATACTCACTGGGTTTCTGAATGCTGGAGGGATCAGATAGGGAGAAAAAGATAAATGTTTTAAATTGCTGTGAATCAGTTAGCTTAAGAAACAATCTGGAAAAACAAAACATTTTAAAAAGTCAGCAGTGTTTCAAAGTCATAAAAATAATTCTCAGTTCATTCAGTCCGATTTATTCTTGTTCTGTCTAAATCTGGTTTTTTTACTAGTTCAGAAATTCTTACCTGGTTCAGTTTTATGATCTTAAGATTATTGGAAACTTGTACTCAGAGTTCTTTACATGAGTCTCACTGAAGACATTTGCATTAGCATCAGAGTAAAACAGTAACTTAAAGATGACCGTGGTTATAGATCTGATTAGAATTCATTACAATGCAGTTGATAATTCAGTTTATTCTGTCTTATACAACACTTCAAGGTAACATACCAAGATACCAGATTTTTAGGAGTTTCACTTACTTTATTAACATGTCTATACAAACACAATCTAAGAGGGTTTGGTGTCACTTTGACAGTGCTTCCACTGCAGTTTACTATACCAAATTTTCACAAAATCTGAAATGTTAGATTATGATCCAAAAATTTTAGGGTTTGATTTTTGGAAGTATATTAAAAAAATATTTAAAAGGTTTGAACATTTGATTAATTATTATGAAATAGCATTTAATTATTTAACCAAAGTGACAATAAAAGATTTCAATGGCAAATAGAAATGGTTACATCCTTGTGAGCAAAATTTAGCTCTTTCAATATTAAGACTCAGTTTTCTTAAGTCCTCAAAGATAGCCAAAGAATCCTTGTTTTCTCGGCAGATGACTTTATAAAGGTAAAGAAAAGCTTTGTTTACAATTTCTTATTAAGAGCAGACCAGTAGTTCAAGAAAATTATTTACTTAAATTCATCCTGTTCTTTTCTAAAATTATTGTTCATAAACCTTCTACAGCTTTATTTTTTACATTCAGGTTTTGTCCTAAGTTTTCTCTCTTTAAATAACCACCCTCACTTTAGGACAAAATTACTATCTTTTTGTTCAGCAAAACTGTATTTTGTCAACTGAAAGAAAACCAACCTCAAAATAGGTTGGTAAATGCTTTTTTTGTCTTACCAAGGACTAAAGCCTGGGAGACCGTCTTTCATACTGCTTTGAAGAACTGCTCACAAGCACATATACCCCCTCCCTTTCATAACTACAAAGACCCGTAGGTCATCTTAATACATTATGTTTCTCTCATATCTGATTATTTGAAAATATTGCTTGCATGCCTCTGCTTAACTGATCTTCTGTTTCTACCTGTTTGATTTCTCCTTGAGGTCACTTGAGACATCAAGTCAGATAAGGCCAACATTGGTTGCATACTGCAGTTTTAGTGCACAGTTTGTATTCCTCATACTTTCCCTGCATATAGTGTTGTTTCCCTTATTTCTAGTCGTAATTACATTATAATCCTTAACTCTTAGAAACTAGTTTCTAGTGAAAACTATGTAGTAAACAATTGTGAACTGTTCGTAATTTTTAGAAACCTGTGCTTCATAGCAAAGCACAAAACATTTTCTAACATCCAGATTTATCTTTAATTTCTCTGTAAGACAAAAATAGATAATGTAATGAATTTATCTTAATTCGATATTTAACTTAGCAGAACATTAAAGTTTCAAGGTTACCAAAGATCTTGGAAGACATTTAAAAGTTTACACTACAAACAAAAAAAGAAACCTTTTTTTATGTTTATTTACTTGTTCTTAAGAATTATGTTCAGACCACCCATAAAACTTCATGAGGCAATAAAGTCAACCACTGTCCTAAGTTTATTTTCTGGTAAGTTTTGCAAAAGAGATAACATGAACATATTTAACTCTTAGTAAACACATGCATAGTAGACGTGTCTTTAACCAACAATACTAAAGTTAGTCTCTAGCTTTCTGAGTTTTGGACCACCCAGTCCTTACAAGCACTTGTCTTTATAACTTTTGTTTTTATTCATACTTGTCTAGAGGACATTAAAGGCCGGATTTCCAAATACTCCCCCCCACCCCTCCATGAAAAACTTCTCCCTAACACTGGTATTTCAAACAAGGGCTCTTTAATCCTAGAGATGATGGGGGTGGAAAATTTACATCCCAAAGGTATGGAGAGATTATTAAGGTGGAGATAGAACATATCTGCTTGTTATCAAAGACCCTTTTAGAAGTTTGCCGTTTTAATTTTCAGTCACAGGCAGTTGTGGGCTGTGTTTACATTTTAAAGATCTAAGAATTTCAAGGGACAGTGAAAGACTGCAAAACAAACTTTTTTCCTTCAGAGTTTCAGATTGCTATTTAAGATTTGGCATTTTTTCTTAAGTGCAGGACAATTTTGTACCAATATCCTGATCTTTTAAAATATCTATAGACATTGTGAGAGGCATAGGTGGGCTTTGATTTGTTTCTAGAATTGCATTTCTGGTTTTATAGAGATTTGTAAGACAAAGTTGTTACTAATTCCCACAAAATTGGAGTATGGCCTGAATATCAGGGGCTTGGCCTGTTTTTTTAACTAAATTTGCTTTATATCAGATTTTTAACTAAAATTTTAATCAGAAACTTTATGCCTTTGTAAAATCTTTCTGAAGCACTTTAACAAAAGCCTTTTTACTGGGTATACAGTTCACCCTTGGCTTTTCTGTTAGCCCCTGAGTATTGGCATTTCACAAACCATTTGTAGGAGGGTCTAGGAGAAATTTTGGTCATTGTCCCTCTCCAAAGGGGGAACTGTGAATAGTCTAAATTTGGTAGGATTGTCTGAAAGTAGAGGTAAAAGCCTTTACAATTTAAAAGATTTTCTGCTGTCCGGGGAACACAATTTCTTTTGTGGCAGGTGGTCTAGGATCTACTTCTAAAGGACATTGCATAGGAATGCCTGAAGCTGGCAGAGCCTGATTCCAGAGCCCTGGAAGATAGGAGCAAAGAGAGCCTTACTGCCAGTCTTGGGTGCTTTGGTTAACATTTCTGGCTTTCAGCATTTATATGAGCAACATGTATACTTTTAACCTAGAGATTAGGCCAGAGTTCTCTGTGAAATCCTGAAGGGAAATGGGAATGAAAACAAACAGATGAGGCTGGATTTTAAGAAGGGACATTTATGTTGGATATGGACATTGATTTTTGTCTGAAGTCTGATTTCTCTTCATCTTGTCAGGGGAGTCCCTAAGGCTAGCCATTATACTAATACAGTTGAGAGCGCTCTATAAGATAGGTATTTTTAAACCTGTATACCTCTGAAACAAATAATACATTATATGTTAAAAAAAGAAGATAGTAGGAAGGGAAAATTGGAGGGGGAGACAAACCATGAGGGACTATGGGCTCTGAAAAGCAAACTGAGGGTTCTAGAGGGGTGGGGGGATGGGTTGGCCTGGTGATGGGTATCAAAGAGGGCACATATTTAATGAAGCACGGGGTGTTCTATGCAAACAATGGGTCATGGAACACTACATCAAAAACTAATGATGTAATGTATGGTGATTAACATAATAAGATTAAAAATATATATATGTAGCCAATTTAAAGGATCCATTGTCTAGGCATTGACAAATAAGATCTATCAGTAGTAACTCAAATCAATAAGCCTTTAATGGCTTAACCAAAGCCACAAGAGGCATCCAGAGAAGGGTGGAGATAATGTAGCTCCCGTGATCCGAAAGTTTACTCCCAAAATTAATCTAAGGAAACAAAGGCCTTCATTGCACAGGTATTAAGGATAATGCAATGAAAACCGTGTCTCTGATCTCCCACAAAAATGTGAGACTCCTGTCACAAAACCACTAATCTTTGACACCAGGCAGGTGCCACTTAGGAATGGGACTTTCCAGCACTAACAACAAAGGTCCCTATGGCCTGGGACCTCTCATAGGAAACTCTGCTGAGAGGGGCATAGCTAGACAGGGTCAGAACCCATCTATTCAACTGGCCATCAGGGTGTACCCTCTGGATAGCGGAGACCAAAAAGAATATTCTCAGTGGTCACAAAGCCAAGCTCTGAAGACCTAGAATAAGACAAAAGGGAAAAAACCATCCAGTTTTTCTTGTAGCTAAGCCGTGGGGGTCTCTTGGAACAACACTAATACCTGGGAGGCTTATGCTATGGATTGTGTGTTTTACAGCCTACCTTGTTGCACAGAAGTTTTCTGGAAGTTGGCAAGTGACCTTTGTCAATCTAAGCTGTCCAGGACCAACATAGCATGGGAGTCTTTGAGCTAGGTGGCAAGCACTCTACTGGCTTTTAAGTGCCAAAGCTGTGTCCACCAATTTTGTGGCTTCCAAGATGTCCCTTAGCAACAGCCTTTACCTCATGTATGACAAATGACATAAAAGACACAGGAAAACAAAGACAGTCCCTGGGATGAAATGCATCCATAACCAAGGAGTACTCTACTTAATTTACCAACAGTCATTAAGCACAAGGAACTAGTTCCACAAATATTTTCTCCCGCTCATCTTCATTTAGAAAAAGGGTTCTCACCACTCTTGCTCTTGACTCAGATTCCATAGAGATTCCAGGAGATACACATGATAAGAAATCTTACCCTCTGCTGGCTATATGTCAGATTTCCCAAGGATCTCTCTGCTGCAGCAGTGCCGGGGGAGAGTGGTATCCAGTGAGTTTAAAGCATCCTGCTGTTTATGCCAACTGTCTGTCAGGAAGAAAGAATGTCCTCTGCCCTTCAGAGTTCTTCTAGCTGGATCAAGAATCAAATTGACATGACACATTAACAGGAGAAAATCAAATTTGGTTTCATATGGACATGGGGAATCCACAGACATGAAATCCCAACAGGCAACATGAAGCTTACATGACATCCTGAGCTAAGGAGAGGGGTTATGGATCCTGGGGATAGGGGAGGAAGGTCCATTAGCACCAAAATCAAACAAGTCAGAGACTCTGGAAGGAATCATCTTTTTAAGCCAAGCAACCTGTTCTTTGATCTTTCGTAACTGAGTTTCAGCTTCCCCAGAAAAGTTGCTCTAGGCATAGCAGGTGGTCACCAGAGCATAGATACCGCTTTGCTCAGCAAAAAAATAATCAAGAGCTATTCTATTATCAAGGACAACTTTGGCTACAGAATCTAAGGATCTTTGTTGGGCTGCTATTTTTTTAGCAGCAAATTCTGTAATAACTTAGGAATTAAGGAGAAGTTCTTAATCATAGTCTCATTTATATATTTATCCCTAAACAGGGAAATAGGGATTGGCCAAAAGGAGTGAATCCTGAATCAGAAAAGCATCCTGGTATAAATCCTTTAAACTTAGGGGAGTCGAAACACTGTGATGTGTTATTTTGCTTGTGAAAAGTTAAAGGCCTTTATTTACACAAAACAAGACAAACATGTGCCTCAACACAACCAGCAGTAACCAAAATATGTCACTGCAGACTGTCCAAGAGAAGGCCATGCACACCACCAGCAGTTCCCAAACTGAACTCAAGCAGACTTCATTCAGGGACTATGGACTAGAAATGAGGAAAGGACTAAACCAGTAAACCCCAATAACTGGGGGAAGGATTCCAATGTGGAATTGTAGACTGAACCAAGGGTTAAGTCCATTAGAGCCTTCTTTGTTAGTCTAGACTGATTCATTAACCCTGGACTGGAAAGCCAATTAGATGGGTGGCTTGAACCCAAAAAGAGCTGAAACTGACTTACCAAAGGCCCTCAAATGACAAGAAAGTGAACTCTCAGCATTTGTGGGGTGCCACACCTGTGTTTCTCATTGTCCCCAAAAGCCAATAGATGTTTGCTTCAGATCTCAGCGCTGCCACCAAATCTGTTAAAAAAACAAACCTAGTAAACTTGAAGATCTAATTGGCTTTATTAAATGAACTGGGCAGCATCTCATTTAGCCAGTAGAGGGGAGCTCCCAGGAGTTGTCCAAAATGTAAGGTTTTGGGGCACCGGGCTGGATGGCTCAGTTGAGAGAGCATGTGACTTTTGATCTTGAGGTCATGAGTTTGAGCCTCATATTGGGTATAGAGATTACTTAAATAAAACTTAAAAAAAAAAAATGGAAGGTGAAAAGGAGAGTTGGGCAAGTAGGTTATTAGCAAAAGGATTGTTCCAAGTAGTCACTTTCCCTTAGTGGAAGAGCGGGAAGTCTTATGCACATCACTTCATCTTCTTGTGGGGTATGGAGAGGACTCATGTGGCAGACTCCTCGCTGATCCACAGAATTCCTGACTGACTGGTTAAAACCACACTGTTTAAACTACAATCAGATATTAAGCCCCAGTCTGGGGACTTGGCCTCAGTGACACCATTTGGGGCCTGTGGTTTTAACATTGTGTTTTTCAGAGAAAGTAATTGCTGTCATTTGATACTGAGACCTGTTAGCTCCTATCTCCCAGGGTAACCATGGAGCACAAAAGAAAAAAAAGAGCTAGAACACATTTCCTTTATCACTTGACAGTGCTGGAAGAATAGAAGTTTAACAGGCAGTAAGTTTAAGATATAAGTTTAACTGGTGACTCTGCAACCTACTAATAGGAAAAAGCATATGGATATCAAAGAAATACATAAAAACAAGTACAAAGTGATGCAAAGATAAACTGGTTATTCCACAATGCAAAAAAATGAAAATTTTACTTTTATTCCTATGTTTTTCCATAAGGACTTACAGAGTGGACTTACAGAGAAAGATCACTAAAACAGAGGCAAAAACCATAGCAAGCATAGGGGGAAAATTACCCTATACTTTGAATCCAGCTGAGTACAAATATTAGAGACCCAAAAATTAGATTGTCACATACTGAGCTCCTCAAGTACCATGTGACTGACACAGGGCCCAAAGGAATGAGAAGAGTGCCCTACTTTTGTAGTACTTTTCTCTTTCTTTTTATAAGAAGTAATGTGTTGGGCGCCTGGGTGGCTCAGTCGTTAAGCGTCTGCCTTCGGCTCAGGTCATGATCCCGGGGTCCTGGGATGGAGCCCCACATGGGGCTCCCTGCTCAGTGGGAAGCTGGCTTCTCCCTCTCCCACTCCCCCTGCTTGTGTTCCTGCTCTCGCTATGTCTCTCTCTGTCAAATAAATAAATAAAATCTTTAAAAAAAAAAAAGTAATGTGTTTTACTATTAGAGTATATCTCTTTCTAGGCTTTTTCTTCTGTATATAAATATTGCGGATTATTAAAAATAACTAGATTGTATTGTACAGACTACAGCTTTTTCAAATTTAACCAAATGTTTTGAGTATCTTTACATATCAATACATATGTATGTTTTTACTAGAAAGTATTCCATTATATGAAAATGCCATAATTTATTTCTCCAGACCTCTGTTGGCAAACATTCTGCTCCCAATTTCTCATTATTATAAATGATATTGTACCCAACAGCCATGTGTGTGAGACACGCATGTGCGCGCACACACACACATATCTTTCTGCCCTTATGCTAGTAGTTCTATATAATTGTTTAGGACCATCTAAAATTGGGGGTCCAAAAGATATGCACATTTAAAATGGCTTATATTACTGAATTGTTGTCCAAAATAAAACTGCTGATTTATACCATCAGTGGTTTTTCTGGGCAGCCTCTATGAGTGAAGGTGAAGCCCCCAGCCCTCAGCTGATACATACCTCCTTTCCTTTCTTCACCTTGAATCTTTTAAAATATTTTCTCTTTTTAAAATACTTAGCTTCTGTTGAAGATTTATTTGAAAAATTCTAAGGCTAAAGTAAGTTTTGAAAACAACTAGCAAAGTCTCTAACTAGAGATCTTCAGTTCACTGCTGATGCTCAGGGGAAATTACATAATTGCCCAGTTTGCAGTGTTCATTCCCACTCTCAGAATAGATCTCAGAGCAGCCTAGGTTAGGAGGAGCTTCCGATTCTACTCAGCTTCGTTTACCTAGATAGGTATCTTAGTTAAAGTCCCTTTTACCCTCGGTTTGAAGATGGTGGTGATCTCCAGAAAGCTTCCTTTCAGTAGTGGCTGAATGTAAGGCAGACTTGAATAGACTTAGTGGCAGTGACAAAAGAAACATGTCATTGTTTACAAAATACTTTTTCTGAGTGACCTTCCTTTCCTTTTTTCACTGAGGATTTGCAACCAGCCATTCTGAAGGCATTTTCTTTCTTCTACCTTATCCTTCAAATCTGTTATTGCTGCTGTTATTGTTAAGCCTTTTAGGAAATTAAAATTCCATACTCTTCGTGGAAAGGTGTAACATCATGAGTGGATCCACTGCGTGTAGAATACCTGAGATGTTGCCAATAAAACAATAATATTTCACTTATTCACATACTGAATTTAATCAAGAGCAGAGGGGGAGAAAATGAAAAAAGATACTAATAAAGCCCCAGCATTCAAGATCTTGGATTTCCTCAGAGAAGAAACCCTTAAAAAATTATAAATTGTAATCAGTTTGGTTATTTGGTTTCCCAGCATTATCATACATACAAGACTCTTACTTTCAGTGATCATACATCCAACTTGAACTAGCTTAGGCATAAAAAGAAAATGTGTTAGTTTACATATTGAATTATGGAAGGGCACAGGTATAGCTTGACCTCAGGGATAATTGGAATCACAGTTTACTCTGTATCTTGTCTCTGAGTATCTGCCTCATTCTCTTATGCCATCTTTCTCCAACTCCACTGGAAACATGGCTACTTGTAGCTTCCAGATTCCTATCATTCGAGTTTCACCAACCAAGAAAAATTACCCCTTTCCTTATTTCCAATTCAGAACAGCCCTGGGAAGGTGTCTGAATGGCCCATTTTTGAGTCAGACACCACCCTTTGACCCAGATCACTGTTGCCAAGGAGAGAAGAGCTCTAAGATAATGGCCACTCCAGGTGATAGATATAGTTAATGCAGCAGATTCTGTTCTAAACAGACAAGTAAGAAGACAATCTAACATTACAGAGTACTTAAGAGGTACCAGATACACACTCACCTGAGCATCCTGTGTAGGGATGTGTCCTTCACAGGCTACAGAAGATAAATAGCAAAGGTGAAAGCAATTTGGGTGGCGAAATAACACCAGTGAGACATAGTAACCACTCACAATAGAAACTCCAATACAGTAACCATTGTGTTGTATATTCTAAAAAGGAATGAAATGCCTCCTTCCTCAATAATTTAAGTGTTCATTTGGTAGTCTAAGAAAATTCACCAGCTGCTTGACAGGTTAGCAGAGAGTATAATCACCTACACAGCACTATGTGCCTTCAAGAAATGACAGATTAGATTGAATCCCTCAAGTGGCAAGAGGTGAGTAAGATGAACAGAATGGTTTTTAAACAGTAACTCTGGACTCAAGTACACATAATATTGAGTCCTTGTTCCACCACTTGCCAGCAATTTATAACTTTGGGCCGGTTGCCTTATCTCTGCAATGGGATAATATCACCAATCTTATATGGTTTTAATTGTGGTTAAATAAGGTAATGTATATAATTGTTCAGCACACTGCTGTGGAACATGGTACAGAGTATAGGATCCAATGGATGAATGTATAATTGACCAGAATGTATAATTGACAAGAAACTTAAAGGTTACTCTTTCCTCAAATATCCAGCCTCCCTGTGTGTCTTAGGCCTAATCCCATTTCTTAAAATTAAGGAAATGAAAAAAAATTAAGGAAATGACCTTGTCATTAACCAAATTTCAATTAGTTATTAGGATCAAATGGGATAATGTGTAGAGTTATATGTTTAAATTACAGTAGCTTTACTATGAAAGGCTGTTTCTTGAATCTTTAGTCATAAAAGTTTGCCATTCAGTTCTGGGTCTCTATTTTAAAAGTCAAGGCTATTTAAACAAACTAGAAACTAGGAAGTCCCTGAAAGCCTCACCAGATTTAATTTCTTAAAGGAGAACAAAAATGTTTTCTGTCCAGAATCTAGCAAAGAGTAGGTGGCACATTAACTACTTTAAAAGCCTTTTCTTCTACCTGTGATTTTTTTAGAGGATCTTTGTTTATAATCATGAAATTGTTTTTAAATGTACTGAAAAGACAAAGTTTTCTTCTCATGGATGATATGGATGTCCGTCCATTTTATTACATCATTTTTTAATTCTGGTAAGAAGGTTTTCCCACTTAATAAGATCTAAAATTAGATTGCATAATCATTTAAAGTAGTCATTGTTAATACTAATGTTAATGACTTGAAGCACTGTTTATAGATTCTAACTGACATAATTTGTAAACTGTCATCCTTGTTCTGGTTTAAAATACAGGAAGCCTTTAAGAACTGGTATTTATCCTGCCCTAAAGGATATACTTTATCCTTAGCGTAATTTTCTGGGAATAAAACACCTAAGGTAGAAAATTGGTTGGACTTCCTTTGTTTTTTGCTCTTCATTTAATTTGAAGATGACATTATTGTGTCTGTCTCTGCAAAATAATATCAAATGTGTGACCCATAAAATGGTATCTTCTTTTCACAGCCTCAGTGTTTACTTGCCTGGCAATAGCATTGGGATTTTACAGAATCTGGAAATAGTAGAGAAACTACTATATTATGCTGCTGTGGACTTAGAACACTATGCCAGGATACATTTATTCTGAACATGGAAGTTGTGGCAGATACTCAATACAAGGTTATTCAGAGTACATATGGACTAAAAAATATTTTTAAATGGGAAGATGTGCTTTGAGTTTGTGTTTTGTGTGTGTCTTTATTATGTTGAAAAGCTGTCATTCAAACCTGATTGATTTGAGATAGAGGCTTTTTGTCTTTATCCTTTTCATAGTTCATAGAAACCAATCCAGAGTTTTCTTGTGTTTGCTTGAACAAATGTATTTCGTAATGTCTGCTGCAAATTTAAAAACTATTCCCAAGCTTACATACTTGTAATTGTATTCAGCTTCCCTGGTAACTACTGCAGAGTTACCTTTTCATAGAAAATAAAATCTCGTTTTAACAAAGTTGTTTGGATTTTAAAGGCAACTTACCATATATGGAGATTGGGTTTCTTGGTAGTGAATTAAAACATTGAACTTTAAAATAATGTGTGCCCTAGTGCAACTGTAGGACACTTGGTATGAAATCTTCAAGTTGCTATGTCTTGGGCTCTGATTATTACATATACTTCATTTTTTTTGATTCACAAAAACCAGTTTATCCCTGCTTCTTAGGAACCCATCTTAAATTTACATAAAATGAAGAGGGTTTTTTGGGGTTTTGTTTGTTTTTTATGAGTCACTTAAATTCAGTAAACTTCTATTTGGTGACTAAGTAGACCAAGCAGGGTTATATAAGGACTAGTCTAGGGTCAATAAAAACCCTTCACCGTATTTGAAAAACAAAGTTTATAATTCCCATTTCGTCAATCTTTAAGAATTTTGATACATGAATATTTAAAAGTATGCAGTATTTTTTTAATATGAAGAAAAAAAATGAGGCAGTGGAAACAGCAATGGTCACCAATGCTGAACTTAGTGATTGTTGTTTTGTTGAATAATAGCTACCACTGCCTATACAAGGGGGACTATGCTAAATAATATATAGCAACTCACCTTTTTTTTTTTTTCAAAGCAGTCCTCTTAGGTGGGTGGTATTATCCTTATTTTACAGCTGAAAAAACAAGCTAAAAGAAGTTAAGGTCACACAGTTGTAACTCAAACAACTGAGGTTGCCAAGGCTATACCGCAGACAAGCCACACAGTCTTTAAATTCCAGTCTTTAACTTCTTTCTTACTCGGTATTCTAGTCATCAACAGGTTGAGGCCTCTATCTTGATAGATGGGCAAACAATCTAAGGCATGGGAAAAAAACATTTCATCTCTCTAACGTCTTTTTCACTTCTGTTTTTGTGTTTCACTAACATAATGTGCATTATATATATATATTTGGTCTTTGTCCCCAATTCCTGTTCTCCTAAAACCCTTGTACTTTCTTGATAGGGGTAATTACAAGCTTCTGTTTTCTTGGCACAAAGCTCCTAAAATCCTCCAGATCTCCTGAATGGTAAGAGTGTATTCTGTATGTTGAGGGGATAGGCGGCTGGGAGTCCTTCTGTAACTTCAGAATGGGGACTGGTTGCCAAATAGACCAAGGCATGATTATAGATTGGAACGTTCAGCCTCCCTGATCTCCCAACTCAACCTCTGGGAAAGGGAGAAGACAGGAGAGGAGCTGAAGGTTGAGTTCAGTTCCCACTGGTCAATCTACTGAACGCATCAGGGTGCTAGGAGGGTGGCACACAAAAGGAAGTCATGGAAGCCCCATGCACCTCTCACTCCGCACCTCGTCCTTCGCATCTCCGTTTGGCTGTTGCTGAAATGTATCCTTTCTATTAAACTGGTGACAGTCAAGTATTTTTCTTCTGAGCTCTGTCAGTCATTCCAACCAACTGTGGAACCTGAGGAGGGGGTTCAGGACGCCCCCAGATGTACCACTGATTAGAAGTACCAGTGACAACCTGGGACTTGAAAAAGGGTGTCTGAAGTGGCGACATTCTTGTGGGACTGAGCTCTTAACCTGTGGTCTGACACGAACTCCTCTGGGAAGTTAGTATCAGAATTGAATTGTTGAACACGCGACGGTGTCCAGAAAATCCAAGAATTGGTTGTGTTGGAAAACACCACACCTAACAGGACAATAATACATATATGTGATTTATGATTAAATACATATAATTATTTCAGGATTGTATTAACAATTTTGATTCAGTGGCTATAATAAGACCCAAAATAATAATGGTTTAAGTAACAAAGAGGTTTAAGTTCTCTCTTACCTACAGTCTAGGTATAAGCTTTCCCAGGCTAGTAATGTCGGCTCCACGGCTCCACAGTATCCAGGCACAGGATCCTTTTTATCTTATTCTACTATCCCTGGTGTTGCCCTCATTCACAAGGTCCAGTGACTCACAACCATATCCACATTCCAGAAACAGAAAGGGGCAAGGTGTGTGGGCAAGCCCCTTCCCTTTAAGGTCAGGACCCTGAGGTTATATACACACCATTTTTGCCCACACTCTATTGGCCACAACTTGGTGTTTTAGCTGCAAAGGAGATTGGGAAGTTAGCCTTTATCCTGAGCAGCCACAAGCCCAGGTAAGTCCTAACACTGCGGAAAAAGGGGAGAACGGGTACTGGGGGACAACCAGGGAACCTCTTCCTTCAAGGATGCACGCTTCTATGACAACACTCTTCTAGTTATTTCCTACCTCAGTGGTACAGAGAGACTGGAGATGTGGCCTTGAGAAAACTGGAGCAAGAATAACAAACTATGTCCAGAGTAGGGATTCACCTTAGGGTCACCAGCCTGGAAGGAAGAAGGAAGGCTGTGTGTAGTCCCAGAAAGTGAGAAACTGGGTTCGGGAATTCCTGTAGTGGTTAAGAACGCAGACTCGGAACTTGCCCCACTGAGGTGAGAATCCTGGCTCCACAGTGCTGTGTGATTCTGGGCAAATTACTTAATTCCCATCTGTAAAATACACCTATCTATCTCCTACTGCTGTGGTGAGAATTAAAAGATAATACGTGGAAAAGACTCAGCACAGGTCTCACACATAGTACGTACCAAATAAATGTTTTATTAGATCGAAGACCTCTTGCAAACCAGAGAAACTAACAATGATCAAAAGGATAGGTGAAGCATTTTTTAAAACTGGCTTACAGACCCCTGACCAGCCTGAACTGGTCTCACATGCAAACACGCTTCATGTCAGGGCAAACTGGTCCCGATGATACTGTGTCAGAATGGCCTTTAAGCGTTATGGAAAGTACGTGCCAGGGCCCAGAGGGTGGGCAGTCGGGGGTGTGGTGAGAAGGCTGTGGCCAGCAAGGCCCAAAGCCAACGATCAGATCTTCAGGGGGAAGCAGATCTAGACAGCTGCCCCAAGACAGTCACAAATTGGCTACATGGAGGAGGAAGTGGGTAGAGTTAGAAAGGAGGGCATGAAGTCAGGGCTGAAATGCTGTGGTGGTTTTTTTGGTCAGCAACGTCAGGAGGCGGGGGAGGGAAGAGAGAATAATAAAGCCATGTATTTATTATCCTGTCCAGTTGGCCTCATTTTTATATTGCTTTCTTATAAAGCTCGCAAGACAGAACAATGGTTGAATTCTAAAACAGATTATTTAAATCAGTATTTTTAGCAAACATATTATGGGTTTTTTTTCTTTTACAAGAGCAGATTTTTATTTTATATAAAACTATCCTGAGATATTTGGTTGCCCTTTTCTAAAATTTACTCGTCTTATTTGCATTATCTCCTGAGTCCAGATGCTTTTTTAAAAGTCATTTGAAAAGTTAAAAAATGATACTCTCTAGTAAGTAAAAGATAATTTTTAATGTCTATATTTCTTTTGATTACTAGACCGTACCACCTTATATTTTAAAGTTTGTGTGAATACTTGCAAAATCAGTTACTCATAAATATATAAAGTATTTTGGGTGGGGGAGCCCAGCTGAGTACATGTAATTTTAGCAATCCCTTTGATATTATATAACATATTTCTGCCTTCAGAATTGAAATAGTATATAAGATTAACTCTGAGGAGAATTTATATAGATTTACATTTCTATCAATTTAAAAATAAAAGAGAAAAATCAAGGAAGTTTATTTAAAGTTATTTCACTGATCAGTACCTTCTCACAAAAACTCCCCCAGAAGACACCTTTTTCTTAATTCGCCTCTTCTCTTTGCTTGACTCACAAGAAGAGTCATCTTCCTACAAACAGGAAAAGAGGGCCAAATGAGAAAGCTACACTAGACACAATTTCATCTTTCTACATTATCTGTTCCACAAGAAAAATTTTAACCATACTAATATTTTCAACTCTGGATTAAATTTCTTTTGGGATTTTGTGTGAATAAATTTTCCAATCTGAAGTACCAGTACATCATATTCTGTGCTGACTCACAGACTAGAGGACACGTAGAGAAATCAACCAGTCCTGTCTCTACCGAATACATCCCCAAAAGAGAATGCCTAGTTATTTCTGCTTTTATCTTAGCCTAGCACTTCTCAATATACTGCTAACTGACATAAACAGTGTTAGAAAGGCCTCCTTTGGATTCGCTGCAAGCCCCATAGTGCTAGGAATCATTTCTTGGTTCCTCCATTCCCTCCTCTGTATTCACACAGCCTTCTACTGCCCACTCTGCCTGCCACCACTGTTCCCAAATATTTCTCATCCAGCACGGTATTCTCAGGACCCTGCACAGAAGATTCACTTAATGAATGCCATGGAAAGGAGCAAGAGAGGGCTAGAAATACAGTGGATGCTCACTGGATGTTAGTCATCCTCCCTGCACCCAGCTGGTCAGGACAGAGCTGAATGCAGGGGCTCCGAGAACAGCACAAGGCACAGGGTCATGGGCAGAGCCCACCCCTGGACTGAGTATTCCCCAAGCTGTTCCTGCCCACACCCTTGGGCTATAAAAATAGTTACTGTTATCAAAACAGTAATAGTTATTATCAAAAACTAGTTAAGTGCATTATATATGTCAAACTACCCTAAGAAACTACCCTGAGAAATTTTTTCCTGGAGAGAAATTATACTATTACAGATTGTTATTTAGAGGGGGAAAAAGTCTTAAAGGTACAGCTGAATGCAATCATAGGTCCTGACCAGAAGGTGGCAGGAGATTGAGGCAGAATTTCTTGAAGAATCTATAGAAATGAGCACTGAATGGAAAGTTCATTTCATTTCTACTTTATATGTTTACACTCCCAAATAAACAAATTCCTTGTACTTGAGAAGCACTGGGCTCTATACATTTATCTACTGACAATGTTTATTAAACTCGAATACAGAAAATGAAAGGAAGGAAAAAGAAAAGATACACAGAAGGGGGGAATGTACTACCATGAATACTACTAGATAGAAAATACCTCAGTATTTCCACACAGTATTTCATTTAACATCAATACAATCTCATGAGATAGGTTTTTCCCCTTTTTAAAGATGAAATTGAGACTCAGAAGCTTTTGCAGAAAAGCAATGCCAGACTTGCAGCTGCCATTAGAGGTCAATGACATTTGCTCATTTACAAAAATTCGATTAACCTAAAGCAGGACTGCAAAAAAAAAAAAACGATGGGCCCAGAGGACAAGGGCCCTCGAGTCAGCTCTCCTGAAAACCTACACATTGTTGGTAGAGAGCCAAGTTTTGAGGGAGGATGTGCTGGAGAGCATGGAATCAAACCTGACCCTGAAAACAGACACTTCCGGGTAAGAAAATATTTAAACAGCCATTAAAAAACCAAAGTTTTCTAGGCAGACAAATCAATTTGCAACGACTCAAAAGAAGGTGAGGCTTGGGTAATCTCTGAAAGACCGAGGAGCGGGACAAAACCACACACGCTCCCGTCACGGCGGCGGGGTGTGCAGAGCGCCTGCCCCAGGGTGACAAGGCAGCAACAGGGCTGGGACTGCCCGCGGTCGTCAACGGAAGGTAAGTGTCCGCTGGTCCTCTAGCCCACAGCCTGTGACTGCGCGGGCTGGCCTCGCTGTACGAAAGTCCCCCGGGGGCTGAGGGCGGTACAAGGTGAGCACCGCAAAAATGAAGAGAATGGGTTGTTATAATTAATTACGTCTCTTGGAAAATTAAGGACTGGTGAGATACCAAAATTCGGCGAAAGCGTCTGAATTTGTACATGCAGAGAAATACACATACGTGTTTGTAAATGCATCACATGTTGTGTAACAGGCATACCAAATCGTTGCCAGTAGCCTCCTCTGGAGACTGGGGCTTGGTGCGGGAAGGAACGACTGCCCTGTTTGTAACATTTTACAACAAGCACATAGACTATTTTCATATTTTTAAAGTGGCTTTAAGTGGATAAGTTTGTGCTAACTATAAGGAGCCAGGAAGTTTTTTTTTATCAATCAGGTTCGAGGTGATACAGGTCTGGGGCAGAATTAACTCACCCGTGATGACTGAAGAAAACATCTCTGGCTGGAAGGAAAATACGAAGCGTACCTGAATCCCTACGCTGCGCCACAAGAGCTTCCCCAAAGGCCACATCATGGCCGTCTTCACTCACAGAAGAGAGTGAGGGTCACAGAGAGTCCCCAGCGTGCTCTCTGCCTGTCCACTCTGAGACAAGGTGGCCCGAATTTCTTGCTGTTTTCACTCTATTCTCTATATTCTACCTGCTTTTCTGTATTTGTTCTTTGTATCTGTTTGTCATATCCATTTCTTTTCAGCTTCCTTCTACATAGTTGTCCTTCCTGTCACTCTAAAGCATCTTTCTGTATTTTAGAGCTGTATTCTGAATTCCAAATTCATAATTCTAGCTAGAAATTATGAAAAGAGCTAAGGCTAAGGGGTCAAAAGCTAGAAATTGAATACTGGTCCCACCATTACTAGCTGTGTGAATTTAGACAAGTCACTTAAACTCTCTGAGCCTCGGTTTCCTCACATGTTAAATGAGGGCAGATCAAATGACATATGATAACACACGAAAACTTTGTAAAGGTGAAGTGACAAGTGTTAGCTTTCATTACTCTGTAATCTGAACAAAGGACGCTATGGCAACTCCCACTCTGGCTCCTTTCTACTCTTCAAACTCCTCTTGAGGATATGCTCACTTTGGCAGCACATATACTAAAAACTTCTTTTGATGAGCTGACGCTTTCTTACATGGACTCCATTCCACTTTATTTTGGCTATTTAGAATATTAAAATATACATACTCTAGGTGCCTGAGAATTCTTATCACTCTGCTTATAAAAAAATATTTTTTCTTATATGTCTCAATACTTAACTGTACACTTATTAATGAGGATGTTCTAACCAGTGCAAATATGGATATATATGTATGCACGTGTGTGTACATATAAAGTTTTATACAGTTATATATATAAAGATATAGCTATGTAGAGAGATATATTCCTTTAGTCTTTACAACACTTTACAAAGTATAAATTATTATCTCCAGTTTAAAAATAAGGCAGAGAGGTTAAATGACTTGTCCAAAATAAAAAAGGTTGTGGCCAAGAACCAAACCCAGAGTCCCAGTACAAAGCTTATGCTCTTAGCTACTCTTATATACTACTTCTTGAGAGAGATAAATGTGTTAAGAAGGACACCAACCACAGCAAAGTTGGGGACCTGAATCCTTTCCAGTGTCTCCCTGAGTTGATCCACCTCTGCACGATACTCATCCAGCTGACCTTCTAATTTTTCTCTACGAAGCCGTTCGTACTCCAGCTGGCCCTGCAGCTCCTTGATAGTCCTGTCAAAAAGAAGTTTTCTCAATCAATCTCTAGTATCAACTAATAATTATTTTTGGCCAGAGTGAAAAAGCATCCATGGATTGCATTTAAGGCAAATAAAACAAATAATTTATTTGACAAATATGAATGGGGAGTCTACTATGAGCTAGCACTGATCTAGACAGCAGGGATACAGCAGGGAAAAAACAGGCCAAATGTGCCCTCCTGGGGCTTACCTTAGCAGTGGAGGAAGAAAAACAACGAAGAAACAAGTAAATACATGGTACGGGGAAGGTGAAAAATGCTAAGGATGAAAAAAATAAAGCAAGAAAGAATAATATCAAATGTTGTCAAGGAGGGAATTAACACTTTGTACACAGTGGCCAGGGAAGGCCTTACTGAGAATGGATCTTCTAAACAGAGTCCTAAAGGAAATGAGAGGTAAGCAAGTAGACATCTGGGGGAAGAGCATTCCAGACAGAGGCAAGAGCAAGTGTAAAGACCCTAAGGCATAAGTATGACTGGTGAACTGGAAGAAAAGCAGAAGCCAATGTGGTGGAGTAGTTTAAAGGACAAGTTGCCTCGGAGAGGCAAAAGGGAGCCAGAAGAGGCAGCGCCTTGGAAGTCATAGCAAGGACCTACACTCTCACTCTGAGCAAAGTGGGAAGCCACTGGAGAGTCTGAGCAGAGAAATGGCATGATCTGACTGAGATTTGTTTTCTTTTGCTTTTGTATTTTTTTAATGATCTACAAGTTACTATGAGTAAAATACATAAATATCAACTGAACAATTCAATGAGTTTTGATTAATGTGTAAACCCTGTAATCACCACCACAACCAAGATATAGATTTCCATTGCCTCAGAAAGTTCCCCCATGCCCCTCCCAGGCAAACTTCGTTTCCCATAGGAACCACATTCTGAGTATCTATCATGTTAGATTAGTTTTGCCTATGCTTATAAATGAAATTGAATATTATATACTTTTATGTGCCTAGCTTCTTTTAGTCAAAGGTATGTGAGACTTACTGTACCTAGGTTTTAACATGATTACTCTGGACACTGTGTTGAGAACAGACTGCAGGGTATGGGGACTGGGAATTAGGGGGCAGGGAAAGGAAGCTGGGAGACATATCAGGAAGATGTTAAAATAAATCCAGATAAGAGATGATGTGACTTGAACCAGGGTACTTTTCTGTCTTATTGCTGGATGGTGGGGGGACGAGAATTCCCAAAGCAGCCTGGGTAGGATGTCAGGTTCCTAGAAGGGTGATCTAAGAGCATTCAGTAGTAGCTCTGGTATGGAAGTGTGTAGGGTTACGACTGGGAATGGGGAAGAAGAATGCCCACTGTGAAAGCCTAGAATTGAGCGAATAAGAAGAGAAAATCATTCCCAGGACATGGTAATACAACCATGCTTTGTTGTATTTTGACTCTGATCTAACTAACAGATCACAACAAAATTAAGAGGATATCCCTCAAACCAATACTTACCCAGTTTTTCTTGACAATTAGACCTAAAAGCAGGAGTTTGTACCTAAAGAATAAATGTCTTCAGATGTACTCAACACCAAGTGGGCAACCAATGCTAGAAAAGTACTAAAGCTCACTCAGAAGATACCCTTCAGTCTCAGCTGACATCAAAGTACATTCTGGCTCAAAGGCAAAGCAATCTTGAAAAAAAAAAATCTGTTCAAAATCACATCAATAGTATAACCATTTCACAGTGAAATGCTATTATTAGAGCTAGAAGTTCCAAATCATAATCCTCTTGGATAACAGGTTTGCAGGCCAACAGACTCAGGCTCAAATTCTGGCTCCATGTCCCACCCTTCCAGTCCAATTGGATAGGAATGGTTAAAGACGGTTGGTTGAAAAGCTCAAAGTAGCTGTGGTCTCAAAACAAAGTCTTGGGGTGCCTGGGTGGCTCAGTCAGTTGAGCATCCAACTCTTGATTTCAGCTCAGATCATGATCTCGGGGTCCTGGGATTGAGCCCCATGTCAGGCTCCATGCTTAGCAGGGAGTCTGCTTGCGATTCTCCCTCTCCCTCTCCCCTTGCTCATGCTATCTCTCACTCTCTCTCTAAAATAAATAAATATATTTTTTTAAAGTCTTAACTCTATAGAGTTTCAGTTTCACAAGATGAAAAGAGTTCAGGAGATTGGTTGTACAAAAGTGTAGAAGTACTTAACACTACTGAATTGCACACTTAAAAATGGTTAAGATGATACATTTCGTGTTATGCGTATTTTACCTTAACTAAAAATAATCTTAACACCTTCTCCATCTGGGGCCTTAAGAGAAAAACTGGATAGAACCTTACACTCTTTGCTAAGGATGGAAAAACAAGTTGTTCATCAACAAACCTTCACATAGCATTTAGAAAGGTAACTAAAACAAACCATTAGAGTTTTGAGGACATTACTTTTCAGACTCAAGCTGTTCTTTCTTCTGCTTTAGATCTTCTTCTGTTATCCCCCCCAGGTGTTTATAGTTGCTCTCAGCAATTTCCAGCATGTGTCTCAATTCAACAATTTTCTTATAAGCTCTCACTGCAAGACAAAGTTGAAGACAGACCTAGTTTAGACAGACAACAGCTCATGGGCTCACAGGATGCTGCTCCTGAAATACATGCTTCTTCTAGAGCCAGTACCTGAGTGTGGAAGGAAGGTGGCATATACATAGAAGGGTAAATATCAGTAATAAAAGAGCAGGATAAACAATCACTGAAAGACCTAAATGGAGGATTCTTTTTCTGCTATTAGAGGATGTATCAAATTGATATGGCTATTAATACTATAAACAGGAAGGTTTAAAGAAGACCACAGTTTCTTAGGATTAATGGTGTATTACAAGACCATGCATAATCTACTATATATAAGAAAATTAGAAAAACTGAAATATGGTTGATATATTTAAACCAGATCTAACCCAGCCCCCCAATTTTATGTTAGTCACTTGTAATATCTATTTATGCAAGAGAACACTGAGAGAAAGAAATATTGAGGGCTGCTTTTAGCTATTATCCAACTACCAAAACTAGGATTTTTCTATTCTTTGTGGCAGTGGCTCTTAACTTGGGGTGATTTTCAACCCCAAAGGACATATGGCAACATCTGGAGACATTTTTGCTTGTCACACTTGGGGGATGGAGAGGAATAGACGATTGGTATCTAGAGGGTTGGAATGCTATTAAAATCTTAAAATACAAAGGAGAATCCCCCTCAACAATTAAGCATCTGGCCCAAAATATCAATAGTGCAGACGTTGAGAAACCCTGCTTTATGGGACCAAGTTAGCAGTCACAGCCTCTTCTTCCTAACACTTAATACTGTGATTTATCTCTCAGTAGGTTATAGAGCTGCAGGTTCCAAACTGCATACATCAGAATCAACTGGGGTGCTCTTTAAAAATGTATATTTGTGTCCCGTACCAGACCTACAAGTTCAGGTATTATTGGTACTTAGTTTTACTATATTGGGAACCACTGTAACCACTAACAAGCAAGTAGAAACAATTAAAAAAAAAGAAGAAGTTACAGAAGAAAAGATCAAAAGAACTGTGGCTATTTAGCTTATATAATAATTCTTTAATATTTGAGGGCTATGTTTTGAAAGAGCTGTTCTATGGGGTCATAAGAGGTAAGAGGTAGGATTAAATGAGATTAGCTCCAGGAAGAGAGATTTTAACTCAACAAAGCAGAAATTTTCAACAGAAACAATAAGAGCTATCATGCATTTTTGGACACTATACTAACTTCCTTATACATTTTAATCCTCACAAGAACACTGTCAGATGAAAATGGGACCCCTGAGAAATAATGAGTATCTTGTCGCTGAAGGTGACTAAGTGGATGCTGGATGACATGTGACAGGAGTGTTGAGCCAAGAGTCAAACTGCAAATGGGCATAGGGCTCTACAATGCCATAGACTTAAGTATAATTTACTAAAGAATGCTTTGAATTAAGGCTCAGTTCCAGGAATGCTGGGATGACAAGAAATCCAATCAGTCCCCTGTAAGTTCTCTGGCAAAACCTAGTGTCCCAAGAAGAGGCTCTCTTGTCCTTTGGGTTTTGCTCTGGAATAAAATTAAATAGGGACAAGAAAACAGCACATGATTTCATACCTTCACCACCTGCAAACACACTAGGTAGGTATCAGTGAGCTTCACTGTATGGCAAGGGGGTAAGAATACATTTTTATCAAAACACATCACAATAGGAAACTATTCTAGTCACATTCTTGCTCTTTTCTAAAACATCTTTTCAAAATTTTATGATTCACTGACAATGATCCCCTTAAAACATCTCTTACTCAAATAATTTCAGAAGTAAACTGTAAGTCTACAAATCAACTACTCATTTTATGAGGTCCTATGTCCTTGCTCATTCTCAACAGAATCACCAAGAGTAACTTAAGCACAAATAAGAAAATAAAAAGTACATAAACCGAATTTCATCAAAATTAAAAACTTTTGCAAGATTCCAGTCTAAGATGGCGATGAAAGACTCTAAACTCACCTCCTACACAAACACACTAACTCTACACCTATTTATAGAGCAGTTGCCCCTGAATAAGAACCAAGGGCTGACTGAACAGCTTCTGCACAACAAAAGATGGAAAGACCACACAGAGAACAGCAAGAGAGACAGAGACATGGTAATGAAGGGAATCCCCATTCCTGATGTTATGAACTACAGTGGGAAGGGACTAACTACTGAGGAACCATGAGCAGATTCGTCTGCCCAAAGGCCCAGAAAAAAAGCTAAAGCTTAAAGAGGCAACTAGAATACAAAGGAACCACCATTAGAATCCTGTCAACCAGTGGAGCAACTGTTGGAACTCTCTCTGAATCAGAAGGGCTGGCAAGCTGCACGGCTCACATTCCCACTCCACCTCGACAGCACAGATGGAATCAGGATCTGATGGCCATAGCCAGCCTATCCCCTCAGTAAGCCGGAGGCCCCTAGCCCACACCAGCCCCACCAAGACGGGTCCCAATGTGGTGCACACCAGGACACTCTGGTCAGCACTCATTACAGCTCCAGCCACCTCGCCAACATGACACAGGCTCAAAGTGCTCTAGAACATCAAGGCCCATACTACACTGGCTCAGGATGACTTGCCAGGGGATCCCCAGCACAGTGCAAGGAACCCCCAGGCCTGCATCCACCTCAGCTTCAGCCAGGGCATCCTGATTTGCACCCACTTTGGTTTCAGCCCTCCTGCCAGGGCACACTCTGTGCCAAGAGCAGTGGGACACCCTGCCTTCCACCCACTTAAGCTCTACCTGTCCTGCCAAGGTGCCCTCAATGCAAAGAGCCCTGAGCCACACCCACTTCAGCTTCAGCTGTCCACCCAGCATGCCCTCTGCAACTAGAGCCCCAGGAATACCTTGCCCTGCACCAACCTCTGCTCTGGCAATGCCACAAGGGCAGCCCCAGCAGAGTGCTCCAGGACCTCCATCCAGCCAAAGATCCAGCCAGCCAGCCAAAGTCACCAGGCACACACAGACAATACAGGGGACATCCCTACATAAGGCCATTCCTTCAAGTTTAAGAGAAGTAGCTGTTCTGCCTAATTCATAGAAACAAACATAGAAAGCCAAGCAAAATGAGGAGATGGAAGAATATGCATCAAATTAAAGAACAAGATAAAACTATAGAAAAAAAACCTAAATGAAATGAGGATAATCTGCCTGATAACTTGTTCAAAATATTGACATGAAGATGCCCATCAGACGGAAGAGTGGATGAACTCAGTGACACCTTCAACAAAGAGATAGAAAATATAAAAAAGAACCAAACAGAGTTGAAGAATATAATAAATGAGATGAAAAAACACTAGAGAGAATCAACATTGGATCAGAGAATACAGAACAGATCAACAATCTGGGAGACAGGATAATGGAGAGCACCCAGGGTGAAGAGAAAAAGAAAAAAAGAACTTTAAAAAATGAGGATAGGTTAAAGGATCTCTGGGACAACATATATTTGCATTATAGGGTCCTGGAAGGAGAAGAGGTAAAAAGACAGAAAACTTATTTGAAGAAGTAATAGCTAAAAACATCCATAACGTGGGGATGGAAACAAACATCCAGGTTAGGGAACTCAGAGAGTTCTTAAAAAGATGAACCCAAAGACATCCACACCATGACACATAATAATTAAAATATCAGGGATTAGAGAGGAAGTTGGGAAGATGGTGAAGTAAGAGGACCCTAAGCTCACCTCATCCCATGGATACAACTAGATAACACATCAGCATAAATAACCCAGAAAAAGAACCAAAGAATGCAGAACAAACTCCACAACTAAAGGTAAAGAATAGGGCACACCTAAGAGGGTAGGAAGGGAGGAGACACAGTGGAGAGCAAAATGGACCACAACCATCCACAGTCAGGAGGGAGACACCAGTCCAGAGTAGGGCAAGAAAGACTATCACACGGGGGAGTCTACATAAGGAAGATGAAACCCCACAACATTTAGCACTGAAAGCCAGAGGGGCTGAATTTTATGAGTTCTAAAAACCAGAGAGACTTAAAGCATGGAATTTTAAAACCCTGCGTGCTCAGTTCTGGGAGAGCCAAGAGAGTGATAAGAAGCTGAGTCCTCCCCCTTAAAAAGACAGCAGTACAAACAGCCTGCAGATATATAACCCAGAAGCAGCAGTTTAAAAAACCCCAGGGGCACATGGGAGGGACGGACAGTTATTTACTCCTGTCAGGGAGTGTCCTGGAGGGGTAGGGCTCACAGGAAGACCTCTCCAGAAACAAAGGGAGCTGGCAGGCACATTCTCCGTCCCTTGCCCCCCAGCATAAAAACAAGGCCACCTGCGGGAGCCTGCAGGAGCCAGCACAAAGCCAGTATTCAGCAACTAACTTGCTTACACCAAACCCCACCCACCTGTGTATGAGCAGATCTGCCCTTCTCAGCTACTTTTTGCCTCAGTCCCCTCTCCCAAAAGACCTGCAAAAATCTTGCCAACACCATGTCATCCAACCAGTGAATTTTGTGGGGCCTTGATCCTCACAGCAGAAGCAGGTCTCATTTTGCAAGCAGACCTGAGCTCACCTTGTTAAAACTGTGCACCTCACCCTGGCTGGGGACCAAATGATGTCCACAATAGGCAAAGTGAGCCTCTGCAGATGAATGAACTGAAGGAAACAGCAGCCAGGACACAACAGCAGGGTGCATGCAATACACAAAGGAGATCCTCTGAAGTGCCAGGGAACAGGGGTTGCTGCACTGTAAGGCACTATAGGACCTATCCTTCTTAAAGCCATTGCTTTCAAGAGCAGGAAACATTGCTGACTTTACTAATACACAAAAACAGACACAGAGAGGTAGACAAAATGAGAAGACAGAGAACTATATCCCAAATGAAAAAACAGGAAAAAACCACAAGAGACCTAAACAAAATGGATATAAGAAATATGCCTGATAGAGAACTTAAAGTAATGATCATAAAGATACTCACTGGACTTGAGGACAGTGGAGAACATCAGTGAGACCCTTAACAAAGAGATAGAAAACATAAAAAAAGAACCAAT